ACAGGAATGAGTAGAACTAAGATGATATTTGAACTGAGGTACTACAGAAAGTTACAGGAGGTTATATACTATAGGTATCTAATGGAATGATCAATCAGCAGAGTCTGAGGCTATGTACAAAGCATGTGGATAGTCTATTGGTAAGTAGAAATGGATCACAAATCATGAAATGGAAATGAAACATAGGTAGTGGATCAGGGAGCAGGACAGATATACAGATAACCGAAATACTGGAGTTAGGGGGTTACTGAAAAGAGACGAGCGCTGGTTGTGGATTCAGATGAGTTGTGGACCAGACAGGACGAGTGGACAGATTGAATGACGAGATGTTGGAGGGGGATAAGATGTGGATAGCATCGGAGATAAGATGTGGATCTGAGATGAGATAAGGGTCAGATCTGAGATCCGGATATGCGGATATGACACTTTGAGCACAATCCTGGTTATGAGAACTACTACCCTGATGATCCTGAAAGATTCCATGACTCTACAAACAGCCATATTTCTGGGTGAGTACCCTCCTATTTATTCTTGTACATATGGAAACATATCTCTTTTACAGCCTCAGGAAAAGGTATCGTGAATGCCATGATAAACTACACTTGACAGGTGCCGGTGTCACACCACTTGATGAAACAACTACAGTGAATTTTCATGGTACATATTTTGTTTAATTTTATTTCACTACTGACAAAGTTCACAGTGCAAATCCTAGAGGAGTTCTCCTGGTACAATGACCTTGCTGACATCCTGGGGGGGAACCCAGCAGTGTCCCTCAAGACAATCTCATTGGTCCTAGGGGTGGACCATGCATCCAAGTACTTTTCACTTGTGCAGGCGAGCACTGCTGGTAGTGTGCAGTCCTCTTCAAGCACTCAGTATGGGGGCTATGTGCCTAGTGCCCAGCTCCCTCCTGCCAGTGCTCAATATGGGAGGTATACACCTAGTACACAGCCCCCTCCTCCTAGTGCTCAGTTTGGGGGCTGGGCACCTCCTCCCAGCACTCAGCCTGGCCCCCTGTTACAATCATGTACACCCCTATTCATTTTCTCTCTCTTTACTGTGTATTATGTCACATGTCACATGCTGCCACCACTAGACTTGTCTCTGACTCTTGTGTATTACATCATGATCACTACTGCTGTTGTTAGGTGACCTATTCTTGCTATCGCTTACGCATCCTTTATCTCTGACTCATATCTGTTCTCACGTCTGCCCTAAAGCACCTGTAGTTCACTATATATAGTTCTCTTGTATGCTTTAGTTCTGCACTTTAATCTTACTAGATTTTACCTGAAACATCCTTCGTTTGAGACCTCCAATCTCTTGTTGTCTGAACCATACTTTAAGATAGAAGCACTCCTTCTGTCTTAGCTTACACTGAATGCTTGACTTATTGTCTCACATAGAATCCTGGCAGAGGTCTTAACTCTTATCAAGTTGTCTGTCATTAGAACTACCCTAGTTTATAACACCCCCCTGTGGCTGCCTACAGCAAGTCCAATCTCCCTTCCAGCACTGATTATGGTGGCTACAGTGGCTCAAAAAACTGTCTGCATGTTTTTGCATTTTTTACTATTTATAATATTGTGTGAGAGTACATAAAGACCTCAGTGACATGCTGATACTATATTGTAGTGCCGCTTCAGGGCTTTCGATTGAGTACTACACTGTGAGAATCAGAGGAGATATGGTGGAGATATGAGGCTTACAAAATGATGACTCATGCAGACAGTTTTTTGAGCACATGTCAAAACTATATAAATCATCATTTATGACACCATAACAATCATGCCACCATTAAATAAATTATGAAGTGGTGTCATTATGTCATTTTAAAACCATGTCTAACTATATGAATCAAAATTTCTCATGTGTCATGGTTATATTCACCATGAAAGCCACCTCCCCTGCTCAAAGGGGTAATGTCCTCTCTCTGTCCTATTCTGGCCTCTCTGCTTGTCAAATTCCCTCTAAAGCTGGAGTATGCAAGTCTACTGTGGCCAAGTTCATCAAAGAAAGTCGCACAGACAAGGAAAAATTCTGTGAAGGGTATCCATCCAAGCTCACCTCTACTAATAGGAGGGCTACTATTCAACATATCACTACAGGAAAGGCTGATAATGCTGTCCAGGCCACCTATTGCATCAATTCCACCATCACATCCCCTGTCTCTTCACACACTGTGAGAAATGTTCTCAAGGCAGCTCATCTCAGGTCAGTAACAAAGAAAAAAAGCCTCTCCTCTTTATCACACATAAACAGAGATGACTAACCTTTGCCTTAACCCATCAGAATTGTATTATATGAACTGGAAGCATGTTATATGGTCATACAAGATCAAAATAAATAGGATTGGGTCAGATGGTAAGGTATATGTGTGGAAAAGGAAGGGTGCTAGTCCTCTCTGCATATATGTGATAAAGAGGAGAGGCTCTTTTTCTTTGTTACTGACCTGAGATGAGCTGCCTTGAGAACATTTCTCACAGTGTGTGAAGAGACAGGGGATGTGATGGTGGAATTGATGCAATAGGTGGCCTGGACAGCATTATCAGCCTTTCCTGTAGTGATATGTTGAATAGTAGCCCTCCTATTAGTAGAGGTGAGCTTGGATGGATACCCTTCACAGAATTTTTCCTTGTCTGTGCGACTTTCTTTGATGAACTTGGCCACAGTAGACTTGCATACTCCAGCTTTAGAGGGAATTTGACAAGCAGAGAGGCCAGAATAGGACAGAGAGAGGACATTACCCCTTTGAGCAGGGGAGGTGGCTTTCATGGTGAATATAACCATGACACATGAGAAATTTTGATTCATATAGTTAGACATGGTTTTAAAATGACATAATGACACCACTTCATAATTTATTTAATGGTGGCATGATTGTTATGGTGTCATAAATGATGATTTATATAGTTTTGACATGTGCTCAAAAAACTGTCTGCATGAGTCATCATTTTATAAGCCTTATGTCTCCACCATATCTCCACCAATTCCCACGGTATAGGGCTCAAATGAAAGCCCTGAAGCCATACTACAATGTGCTATAACCATGTCCTTGAGCCATTTGTGAGTTCTCACACAATATCATAGATAGCGAAAAATGTCAAAACATGCAGACAGTTTTTTAAGCCACTGTATGTTGCCCCCTTCCCTCATGTTATGTCATGTAAGTCTTGTTAATACTATGTGCTAAACTTTATGTGCTGTGTGGTTGGTTGTGTGAATTTCCTATCCTTCTTGGTGCTGTGCTCTCAATATGGGCTGTCAAATGAATTTCCTATCCTTCTCAGTGCCATGCTCTCGACACAGGGCTGTCAAATAGTAGGTCCATCAACTTTGCGTGGGAAGCCTGACATGGAGTGCCATCATACAATCTGTCACCAACCACCTGGTTACTATCAGGGGCCTCAAACTGCTCATCTATCATGCCTCTGCCCTGCTGATGGGCCCATGCTACTGTACCAGTGTTCTCATTCTATCCCTAAGCTTCTTCTAACTGCATGATCATGTTGTGGAGTATTAGACAGCATTGAATCCAGTGAACAGCTGTATGAAGGTCATTTTCTGAATGGATATTCCATCAAAGGTCCCTAAGAGATTGAAAGCATCCTTTAAGAGCTGCAAAGGCATGTTCTACATGAACTCAGATCTAAATAAATTTTAAATCAGGAATTAACTGCAACAGAAAAAATACAAACTGAAAAAAGGTGAAAATTAAATGTCCTTTAATTAGCTGTGAGCCTGCCATTGTGGGGTTTCTTGAAAGGGGGGATGCACCAGGGCTCCAGTGGATATGCACTGTCTGCCCAGACCTAGTGGTAATCTGGAAGAAGTGTGGTATGTTCTTGATAAAGGCAAGTGGCCCTGAAAGCATAGGCATCATGAACACTTCCAGGGTGACCAAGAGCATAGTCAACTATAAGAAGATTATGGGGCATGATGATGGCCTATAAATTAAATTAATTACAAACAGGAGACAGACATAAAGGAAACACACCTGACAGCCAAGGGAATATCTTGACTTCCTATCAAAAAAAACTTCACCATGAAAACCAGGTTTCTGATACACATTAATTGTAGAGCCATCCACAGCTAGAATCCTGTTCTGCCACTCAGGGCAAACAGTTTTTGCTGCATACTCCTGAGCATGCTGGAAATCCTCTGAATCAGGAGGAGGGAAACTCATGAATGCATCATGCTAATCAAGCAGTGCAATCATAACATGGTTGGTGCAATTCACAACCAATCCAACACTGATACCTGCCCACTGAGCCACATACTCCACTGATATGGAATTACCATAGTGGCCTGCATGGTTGAGAAAAATGGCAAGTTGGATGGAAACAGGAAGTTGGGGATTGTGTGAGTTGTTGTGAAAGATAGGGTGGTCAGAGATTAAATCCAGGATGTCATCAAAGATTTCAGGCTTGACATGTAGCTTCTGCTGAAATAGGTGGGGGCAATATTCCCCAAAATGCACAAGGAGGTGCAGCTGACTGGCTCGTAGCATAGGCTTAGTAGGGTGGTGAAGTACATGTGTCTTTTCCACCTCATCCTGGAGAGCAGCAATCTGGTCTTGAAGGTGGTTATAATGAGCCATAATATGATTAGCTTCATCACTAGATGAGTTGAAGTCCAATTCAGAAAAGTCAGAAAGGAATGGTGAATGAGGTGAAGAAGGTGTGATAGCCATGATGTTCATGAAGTTGTCAAGTTCCAAATCAGAAAAGGGGCTTGAGAGGGAGTCTGTACTAGAATGGCCATCTTGCACTACATGCTCATAAGTGGCCCTGGCTATTGCAAGTGCAGCCATGTCAAGGTCATGTAGGATCTGTGCTCAGTTGCTGGGATGAGGCATAGTGAGGTTTGAGGGATCAATTCCCCTATTTTTGCACTGGCTGATATGATGTTGCTTACAGCAGAGTTTAAATTTGGAAAGTTCTGGTCAAGTCTGTTTCTAGCCAGCTCATGGCCTAGGTCAAGCCTAGGTGCACCTCATGACTGACATCCACAATGTCAACAACAACCATGGGTGCACCAGCTCCACAGATCTGTGCATCCATCAACAATCTGCCAAACAAATGCACTCTACTTCCACCATCCACACACACCTCAGTTCTTATCCAGGCTCTCATTTGCAACCTCTGCATGAAAGCTTTACTATTGTCATCCTTATTCCACCTTGTTCTCCATCTTCATGGCAGTTTTTATCCAGGCTCTCATTTGCAACCTCCAGCACAAAAGCTTTACTATCATTGTCCTCACTCCACCTTGTTCTCTGTCTTCATGGTGATATGCAGATCTTCATCAAGACCATCACATCAGAGGTGAGTTGTATAACCCTCCTCCTCCTCACTCAACCTCTTACCAACAGTGTCTCATTGTCCAAGCAGCTCAAAGACAGTCACACTCTCTCAGATTACAACATTCAGAGGGAGTCCACCCTTCATTTGGTCTTGCATCTCCATGGAGGCATGCAGATCTTCATGAAGATCCTCATGGGGAAGACCACACTGGAGGTGAGTTGTCCAGCAGTTGTCATCCTCCTTCACCCAGCACTCAGCCTCAGCCTCTTCTCCCCCAGCATGCAGCCTCAGCCTCCTCCCTCTGGTGGTGAGCCTTATTCAGCTCCCTCTGGCACTCCCCACCTATGGCATGCACCCTGATGATCTCACTGGACTTTATGTATATTTTTGCAAATTTATTAATATCCATCAGTTCAAATACAAAGCACCTTGGGGAGGATCTACTTTATCACTACTCCTTACAACTACATATCTCAGATTGCCTACTGTATCTAATTCACTTGTTTTGTGTATCACATCCTTTGAAAATGCACAAGTGTTGTTTTGAACTCTGCTATTGTGCTGATGCACACCAAGTATTATGTGGCTTTTCAGCTGCTGTTTCCTGCAAACTCAACCCGAGTTTAGCAACATTTAGTGAGTTTCCCAAAAGCTACTGTGAGTCCCACTATTGTGGGGATTATATTGTATATGGGCAAGATATGGTAATTCTAATCACATGACTCATTTGGACACTTTTTTGACTTTCTATCCAAATCACAAAATCAGACAATTCACACATGATATTCTTAATGGACATGGTTGTTAAGAACCATATTGCTCAAGGGAGAGAGAGACTGACTCAGAGGGGCTTGGCCTCAGCTCGTATGCTGTGCCCCTTACCTGTGGAAGACTGGAAGAAGGTAGTTTGGTCAGATGAGATAAAAATCAATAGAATGGAGTCAGATGGCTAGGAATATGTGTCAAAAAAGGCAAGGTAATCATTAGGGGAAAGAGAAGTCAAGAATATGCTAAAGTTTGGAAGATGAAGTATGATGGTAGAAGTTGTAGGAGATGAAATGGTGTGGGGATTCTTTGTGAGGCAGAAGGAGGGATGAATGTAGAGCAGTAAATAGGAGTGTCTACTCAGAAGCATGCAGAAGTTAGCAATTGATGAAGAAGACATTATCTTTCAACTGGATAATGACTCCAAGCATACCTCAAAGCTAGCTACAAAATGGCTCAAAGCCCATGATGTTACAACCACGTATGCCCCTATTCATTTTCCCTTCTTTACTGTGTATTATATCACAAGCTGCATGATGCCACCACTAGACTTACCTTGTATTACATCACAATCACCATTGCTGTTGTTAGATGATCTATTCTTACTATCGCTTATGCATCCCTTATCTCTGACTCATTCCATTCTCATGCCTGCCCTAAAGCACAGTAGTTCACTATAAATAGCCCTCCTGTACACTTTAGTTCCTTACTTTAATCTTACTAGGTTTTACCCTGAATATCCTTCGCTTGAGACCTCCAATCTCTTGTTGTCCGAATCGTACTTTAAGTTAAAGGCACTCCCTTTGACTTAGCTTATACCAAACGCTTGACTTATCATCTTGTGTAGAATCTCAACAGAGGTCATTGACTCTTATCGAGTCGTCTGTTGTTAGAACTACCCTAGTTTGTAACACATGATATCAATGTTCTATCATGGCCAGCATAACTATAGCAATAATAGACTTGCTAGGACCAGTTTTGGAAGCAATTTGTCTCATAGGTAAACTAGAGGAGCTGTTAAGGTCATGTGCTCAAGGGAGTTGGATCACAAGGGCTTGGCCTCAGCTCATATGCTGTGCCCCTTTCCTGAGTATGTGCCCTTAATTTCTGGGGGCTGGAGCAGTTGTCCAGAGTTTCTGGGATTTGACTAGGGTAGACAATGGATGTCTGGATCTGAAACGTGAGATAAATCTAACAGACATCCAGAAGTTACCTGGGCAAGTGGATAAGACTAATCCAGACAAAGTCTGGACTACCTTAAGGTAGAGTTGGAAATGTAGTCTAGGATGCAATCCTAAGACTTGGAATATGACAAGAGACTTATCTCAAGTCTGGAGGACACAGGAATGAGCAGGAACTAAGATGATATTTGAACTGGAGTATTTCCGAGAGTTACAGGAGGTTTATATACTGTAGGTATCATATAGGAATCAGTCAGCAAACATAAAGGCTATGTACGAAGCATATGCAGAGTCTACCAGTAAGTAGGACAGATCACAAATAATGAACACCAGAAATGAAATGTATGTAACGGATCAATAATCAAAAGGGAAACATGGTTAACTGGAGTCTGGAGACAGGGGCAGTCTAAAGGAGTTGGGCGCTGATATAGGGTTTGGATTCCAGAAGGGAGATAAAGATAGATCAGATCATTTGAGATCTGGATCTTGGATCCAGATATCCAGAGAAGTGGATTTAGAGTTGAGAGTCTGGAATGGCATATGACAGTATCTCCCCCTTTAGGCTGAACCCTTGAGGCACAGGGGGTTGGAAATGAGGGTCCAGAAGAAATGAATGTGAGATGATGGAGAAGTCGATGGGGGATTCCAGGGGATGGATTTCACAGATATAGTGTTGCCAAAGCATCCTATTTGATTCTTACCCCCCATATTCTTCCATTAGCTTATTCACTATGTCTAGCAACTCTTCCAATCAATCTAACAAGCCCAAAACTGCCAGGAAGGAACTGGAACTGTGTCAGGCCCAGATGAG